ATGTACTCCTATGCAGGCTCCATACTGTCTAACTTCATACAGACTAATCAAGGTTGGTCTGGGTGGCTGGATGTTGATTAGCTTACTGTTACTTGAGTCACCTATTGTTGTTGGCAAGTTCTTCTGGAGGTGCCTACATGATAGGATTAGACTGATGGTAAGCTTCACCTTTTTATCTAATCAGTGTGGGATGTTTATTCTAATGTGTGTGGGCACTGCCCCTATTTCTGGAGTGTATAAAAACTGTAATTCTGTTCAATAAAGTAGTTCCAGTTTGCATCAAGCTAATGCCACCTAGTCTTGGGTGCAATGCCCAACTATAAAACCTTGGTCCTATATCCCAGTGGCGAGGAAGTGGTTCTGTGACTGAAGGCACAAGCTGGGTGCAAGGTGTTCCGTCACTCTGTTCATCTTTTTGATCAAAACCCTGTGTAAGCTCCATGTTGGATGGTGTTTGTGATAGACTCAAAGACTGGGTCTTTTGGAGCAGACTACAGGCTAGCCTCATGCCTACTGACTATGGGACCTGGCTTTTGAGGGGACTCTATTCTTTGGGAGGTGTGTGCCTGGCGGACCTTTTGGAGTAATTTTACTTCAGATTCAAGTTCATGGAGGACCCAGATACAGATTTGGGGCCTCTGTGCACAAACCAGCATTGACTGCTTCAACCCCTTTCTAGACTCAGAGACTCTAGGCAGAAGATTATAATCAGCTCAGATCAACCTGATGCTGAGGTTTCCTGCTGTAATCTGTTTATTAAGCTGTTATGTGTTTACTGTTGTGTCTTTCTCCCACTGTTAATTGAGTTGGCTAATTGAGTCTGTTGGCTAATCCTCCTGGAGGTTCCTACATGGTGGGATTAATCTTGTGTCAACTTTACCTCATTATCTAATAATTGTAGGATGTTTATCCCAATGTATAATATATATGTTTTTATTGTTCATGTAGGGACTTTCCCTATTTCAGAACTGTATAAAAACCTGTATTTCTGAGTTCCTGTTTGTACCTAAGCTAGTGTCCTCTAGTTCTTGGGTGCAATGCCCAGCTATAATATCTTGTTCCTGTGTTCCAGGTGGGGTGTCAGGCTATCCATCATAATCTTGAAGCTGAATTCCTCTCGTTCACCAGAAACTTGATCTCATCTCTGCATTGTTACCAACATATCTTGAATTTTGCATTGCAGTCTTGTCATATTCATTTGTGGAAAATTCAGTATATGTGCATTTCACTCTTTTGGGTACAATTTCTTAAAGGGAGACAACAAATCTTTTATATAACATACAGTATATGGGCATAACATAAGTAATACTATTTATTTGTTTTACTATAGACACTTGATATTATTTTCTATTTTATTCTTTGGGTATAAATGTGGCATAGTACCACTTTATGTTTTCTGTATGCTAGGTCCAACACTCAGTATCTGTCCTTATTCTGTACATATGAACCCTGCACAGGACTATTTTTTGTCTTTTATGTTGGATATAATTTTCAGTCTTTTTCTTGTTCTGCAACAGACTTTTTTAATAATTTTACCCACAGGAATGCCTGAAATCATTTTCACAGTTTGCGTGAGGGCCGCAAGATGCTGTCAGATTTCGTCAATAGGAAAGGATCCTCTTGGAGGCTCAGACATGGCTGTCTGATACTGTCACATACCTGGTTAGTGAGCCTGATGTGCAGAAAAAGTCCTCTCGTACAGCTCAGGCTCAGGGGTCACTGCAGATGGAACAGCAACCCAGAGAGCACAGTGTGGTATGTGTGGCTGAATAGTCTGATAGTCTACAGGAGTAGCCAACACCTCACTGGATGGACAACTGGGGTGGAACAGCTGGCAGATGTCACAGCAAAGCAGGCTGGCAGAAGGTGGCACAGCAGAGCAGGCTGGTGGCAGGTAGGCTGGCAGCAGACAGATGGTACAGCAGAGAAGGCTGGTGGCAGTTAGGCTGGCAGTAGACAGGTAGCACAGTAGAGCAGACTGGTAGAGAGGGATGCAGGGTCAGACAAGCGGGGTCGGTAGCAGATGGGCAGATCAGGCATAAATGGCAAACAGAAGAGAAATCAGGTCACAGGCCAAGGTCAGCAATGACAGAGACAGATCAGGCAAAGACAGCAGGCAGAGGCAAAATCCAGGAAGCAAGCCGAGGTCAGGGCAGGATGAGTTCAAGCAAGGTCAAAACAAGCTGGGCCAATCACAGGTAACAGTATAGGAACAGATGCAGGGATACAGGGAGAGTTGCAGATCAGACAGCAATCTCCTAGTGCACTCCTGCACTTATATAGGCCACTTGGTGCCAGAAATTAACAGTGAATGCATGCACAGCTGCGCATGCGCATATGCATTAGTCTGTGTGTCACAAATTGGGCACCCGCAGGACTGTGCCTGCGCTTCTGTATGCACCTCGGAGCTACGGTTGTGGCATGGGGAGTGCGTTCCTGACAGGTGGTGAGTGGGAATATTGTCCCCTTACATTGGTGGTCAATGGGAAGAAAGTTCCTTGCATTGGTGGTTAGTGGAAAGAACACCTTTCTTACAGTGGTGGTTAGAATGTCACCCTTACAGACAGCTGAACAGGTCATTGATGCTGCTGGCTTTGTCAAGTAGCATTGGACCCAGATCTATCCAAGCACCATCAGATGGGATGTCAATTAGCCACAGTTCAAAGAACCCCTAGCAACCTCTAGAACAGCAGTTGTTGTGGCACAGTGTCCCTCATCCCGGGCCTCTAGCCAGCTGCAGATCCCCTAACCTACCATAGTGCCCCCCAGCCAGCTGCAGATCCCCTAACCTACCATAGTGCCCCCCAGCCTTCTGCAGTGCCTCCATCATCCTATAAAGCTCCAGACCTCCAACAGAATCACCCTTCAGCCTCCTCCAAAAACCTCATACCCGAGAGGGCCACCAAGTCTATTGCAGAGTTTCCTGATTCCCTCCAGAATTCCCTTTACCCCTACAGTGGCATCAAACCCCATCTAGAGCCTTCCACGAGTTTTTAATTCCCATACTTTATTGTATGAGCATAAACATTTGTTTACTGTTGGGGCATGGAAGGTTTTGGAAGAATTTACCAGGCTTTGTCTCAATAAGGTTGAGAACCACTGATCTAAAGGAACTTTAGGCTTCCATGGAACCCTATTTGAGGATAGCTGTAGTATGCATAGGCAATGCACAGTAGCAGTTTTCTTGTTCTTTTGGATCGCTTCTCGGCCTTTTGGCTAAGATCAAGTGTAGTATCTGTTCTTATCAGTGTCCAGTGGGGGTTGCTCCCGACCATTCTAGCTTTGCGGGGATGGTTGTTGTATAGTACCCTCACTGGTATGATGGGGGTCCGGAAGGCTGGACCGGAGGGACAGAAACCAGGGGCGCCACTATACGCTCTGGGACCTTGGGAGTAATTCCTCTGGGAAAGCTGGAAAGACCCAGTACCTCCTGATTTGGACGGATCTACCTTGGTCTGGCCTGGGGCTGGGGACGCAAAAAGTCCGCAAACTCAGTGCCCCCCTGGGGAAGACGCTCTCAGGGGTGTCACTAGTAACACTTGGGTGTGGGACCCCACGGTGTGAAGATGACACATGGCCACTGTTTTTCACTTCTTTTTGCATCGCCCCTAAGGACCAGGTCTTTTGGCTAAGTCCCAATTTTTGCTACAGGCCTCAGGGCCTGTCTGTGCACTATTAGGCACGGTACCACTTTTTTATTTTTTATTTATTTATTTAATCACTCCCACGTTTTGTCACTTTTTCTGTTCTTATGTGTGTGTTTTTCACGGATGGAGGGTGTGGGTCCTTGGGCCTTACCTGAAGTCTAGGGGGAGGATGTGTGGCCATACGGTTCCTTCCTCCCCCCTGATCCCTAGGGTTTTCTCTTCGGGAGAACCCCCTTGCCTAGTGCTGGATGTCCGGCTTCGGCTGGGCATAAGGAACGGTGGTCCACCAGCCTTTTGGCCAGGAGGACCAAATGGGAACCTTGTCCCTGTCAGGAGCTTCGTGCCCCGGGGGATCGGACAACGGTCTATTCCGGGGGTAGGACAAACACACCCCTAAGTGCACTTTTTCGTGTGGTGTTCGCACTTGCACTTTTTTTTGTGATCACTTACGGGTTTTTCGTTGTAGTACGTTTGCGGACTTAAAATAAAAAAAAAAGCAGTTTTCTTGTTCTGTATGCATATATTGAACTACTTGTCCTGCATCCTGAAACTCATTTTCAGCTTCTGTTCATATTCACTAGATCTACTGTCCATCTGTAACTGTACACTCAACGTTTTTAAACTGTGCATCGATAAGTCCCTTTTTTATTGTCTGAATTAAGCTATGCCCCATAAACAATTTGTAGACATCCAGTTTTTGTGAGCGCCCCATACCTACCGCCCTATAAATTGGTCTCAGTGGTTGACACCTCTATTAATAACTTTCTTTCCACTATCATATGATAGTCTGGCAACCGGGCTCTTAGACCATAGCACTGCATCTTGGAGAGAATGGAGGGAGGTTGCATGCCCTCTCATGCCTGGGTATTTTTCAAATATGGAAATCATAGGACAGTCTGGCATAGGGCATCATCATACAGCCATCATCACTGGTTTAATGAAACAGTTATACTTCTACCTATAAGATGAGAACAATCAACACTTATCCAAACATAATTCACCATGGCTGAGCACACAAATTATAGTCAGGTAGGAATACACCTTGCAGAGATAATTACATGCATGCCAGTCTTTCTTCTGTTCCAGAAAAGGTCAGAGCTTTTCTATGTGACTTCTGTTATGTAACATTATCAAAGAGTGCCTAATGCTCAGTTCACAGGGTTGGTGAGACTGATAATGTCAAACAGAAGCTCACACATCAACTTGATGTCGTGATCAAATAAAACATATCTGGCTTGTATGGAAACACTGACCTAGATTCATTGGCAGCATTTGAAATCGAGGATTAGTGCTTCTTCGCACTCTGCGCCCTTATCAGGCTGAATGTCTCTTTCAGCTTGACAGTTTCTTGGATGAAAATAATATTTGTTCCTCTTAAAAATTCCTTGTAATTTCTTAAACTCCAGACGAATCCAAAATATTCTAAAGCAGACCAGTCATGAAGAATTGGTATATCTTCCATTCTTTGTTGGGAAAGTGTATGGTTAGTTCATTTATCTTGATCACATTAATGAATCCAGAGCAGGGGCGGACTGACCATTTGGAATCTCGGTCAGTAGGGGGCCCCATGAGATGCCCCTGGTACCTTTTTCACTTTGTACAGCGCTGAGTGAACTATTGGCGCTTTATAAATACTGTATAATAATAATAAATAATAATTATCACCTTGTTTAGGTCTAGGGTACAATTTCCACTGTTTCTTCACCCATATGCTCCAGTGATCTAAAGTACTTAGATTTTCAAGACCAAAGCAGGGTAAATAGCTCTGCACTGGATATGGGGACGTTGAGGAACAGTCCATTGACTAATGCCATCTGCCAGGAAGCGGAGGATCGGATAAGTAAATGATCTTCTCTTCTTGCTGGACTAAATGAGCAGTTGACCTATGCAGTGCAAAGATTTTCAGGTGGGACTTTCAGAGTTAAGCTTTAAGTCCGCAGTTTCAATTAAAAGAAACCTGGTGATCCTGCCAAGATCTTGTTCAGGCACTTTCTGTTATGGAGTGACAACTGTCTACTAGTTGTCTCCCTCTTACATGTACCCATTGCCTGAAACTACAAGAAGCTCTGTGACGAACTTTTCTCTGGAATGTCCAGCAGAAAGCCAGTCCAATGATGAGCAATGGTGGAGCAAGTGCACATAGGCAGGAAATGTCTGAAATTGGTTGGAGGAGATCAGCAGTGCTGAGATGCAAGAAAAAGGATAAAAAAATGATCCACATTACAGTACCATAATATCTGATATTGGGGTTTACAGTGGAAGCCAGCATTTATTCTGAGTTGAATCAGCTGCATGCACTATAATGGTAAGCAATCAGCTCAAAATCAGAACGTCAGGGAAATTTGATGCCATAACACAAATCACTTCAACCCCTAGTAGCCTTAACTCTGACCAGGGGCAGACTGACTATGTGGAAACTCGGGCACTGCCCAAGGGCCCGGGGTCAGTAGGGTGCCCCATGAGATGTCCCTGGTACCTTTTTCATAGGCTTTTTTGAGTTTGGGCAAGGACACAGGGGCCCCATGATCCCCTGTTGCCCGGGGGCCCCATGAGTTGTCAGTCCGCTCCTGGGCAGAACTCCAGCTTTTGATGCACTTTAAAGGATAAATTCACTTTTCAGAAAAAAATAATAAATGCACATTTTTTTGAGAGATTAAACATAAATTAAATTAAATCTTGAAACTAATTAGTGACTTCTGTGTATTTAAGCACGTGCTCATATCTTCAGAGAGATTGGATTGGAGAGATTAGATTTGATTAAATTGTATTGCATTTTTGTGCCTTTAAACGCTCGGTCAAGCTCATTGCCAATCTGTATGCAATTGCACTGTGTGTGGCAGATTGCGTGCAGATTGTAAAAGGTAACAGATCGGCCAGACGGAGATCTGTATGTGTGTGGGGTGTCCCAGCAGACCGTTCTGCGGATAAACTGTTGAGTGGTGGCAGGCTACCTTTTGTGGTGTGTCTGGTCCGTGTGTCTGTGGTGTGTCTGGGGGGGGGGGGGGGGGTGGGACAATGGAAGGGTGATTAACGCCGGGGTTCAAGCTGTAATGTAGCTGGAGGGAGCTTAGAAGGGTGTGTAATTACTAAGCTGGTCCTCAACTCTAATCAGTGCATCAGATTGTATGTAAGATTTGTATCTGCCAGTGTGTGGTCGACCAGCTGGATTGGAGTGGAGTCTCCATCTGGTGGTGGCCAAAGGTAGTGCGGGCTGTGAAAAGGTATCACAGCTGATTTTATATACGGTTTTATATATTCAAAGTTAAGGCCGCTTTATCCCCTCATACCCCCTGTCATGGCCACGCGTGCGCGCCTCGGTTAGCTAGTTGCTGTGGGCGTGGCGTGTCGGGGATCCGTGACAATCTTTTGAAGAGTTTTCTCATTACTTCCTGTTAGGAAATGTGGGAAATTTTCCTAAATAGGGACACTGACAGCAATAAAAATCTGAAACAGGCTCCAATCATTCCCAACTTCATCCAAAATTAAATAAATACTGTATTTTCTTGTCTAGAGTTGGGCTTTAATGCACAAAGATATTTTGGAGTATAGTTTAAGTTTGGATGACATGTATTAATGAAACCAATAACATGTAGGAAAGAAATATGGGACCTCCTGACTTTTTTAAACATCTAGGCTCCAAGTCTGTTATTCAGCCATTGACTTTGCTATCAAGCTCATCACTGACCTGTAAATAGCATACAGCCAGGGAACTATGAAAAGTTTGCTTTTCCCTCCTGGATAATTGTTCTGGGTCATTGACTCATAGGTAGTAAGGCAAGTATATGGGTAGCAGCTATTTTACCGCTGAGTTATCATTGAGGTAATTTTATGATTAATGGGGAGTCCCTGTGAAAATGGTTTATACCTACAGTTCATTGTACACTAGCATGGTCAATAAATTGAAGTTTTAAAAAAGATAGAGTAAGCAATCTGTTGTACTGTCGTACCTAAAGTATTTGGCACCCAAGGAAGATAATTTTGTTACAAACCCACTACAAAATTATTTTTAGTAATGTTCCTAATAACTGCAAAAAAAAAAAGGCAGACAGTAAAAACTCCCCAGTTTTGGGCATCAATTCACAAAAAGAGCATTGGGGAACATTAGAAAGTACAGAGAAGGGCAACTAAATTGATAAGAGGTGGAGATCAGCTATGAGGAAAGATTAGAGGAACTGAATTTATTCTCTCTTCAGAAGAGGAGATTAAGGGGGGATATGGTCAACATGTATAAATACATCAGTGGTTCATATAGTGAACTCGGTGTAGAGCTATTCACCCTGAGGTCATCACGGAGGACAAGGGGGCACTCTTTACATCTGGAGGAAAAGAAATGTAATCTCCAAACACGGAAAGGTTTCTTCACAGTGAGAGCTGTGAAAATGTGGAATAGACTCCCTCAAGAGTTGGTTCTGGCCAGCTCAGTGAATTACTTCAAAAAAAGTCCTGGATTCTTTCTTAGATACACAGAATATAACTGGATACTAAAATTTATAGGTAAAGTTTATCCAGGGAATATCTGATTGCCTATCTGGGGATCAGGAAGAATTTTTTTTCCCAGCAGGAGCAAATTAGATCGTGCTTTTGGGGTTTTTTTTGCCTTCCTCTGGATCAACTGTGGGTGTAGGATTATAACTTTTTTTTTTTTTTCTGTGGTTGAACTGAATGGACTTTTGTCTTTTTTCAGCCAGAAAACTATGTAACTGTGTAACTATGTAAGATTAAACATTAGTGGTCATTGTAGAAGTGACCCCTTACAATGGTGGCTAGTGGAAAATTGCCTGCTTGCCTGGATGGTCAATGTAGGTGGGAAATCAATGTTGAAGGAACCTCTAGAAACCTCAGGAGGAACCCTAGGATTCCATGGAACCCTTTTTGACAGACACTGGCCTCAACCTTGATGGGCTGAAATGTGAACTTACTCCTTTAAAAACCAACTATGTCAGCCCCTATATTTCTATCCCAATTCCACTTTAAGTAAAACACAATGTTAATTCCTACACACCAAATTGCTCTGTAGAAACTTAGTACTCTAAGGCATTATCGACAAACCAACATATCTCTTCTAAACTTCATATAAAAAAAAGAGAAAGTTTTTATTTCCTTCTAATCTTTATATATTGTACAAGTGCCAGACAGTTGTTAAAATGGAGCGTGATATCTCTTAACTTGCTTGGCTGATCTGAATATTTATGAAATGTGCAGCTATTATAAAAAAAACCTTGACTTCGCCAGCACTATGTGCTGTGCATGGTAACTATCGTTTTGTTTTTTTTTTCTTCCTAGTTTTGGGCCCGGTAGAGTAATAATACGGCAGGGTCACGTCGCTCAGAACTTCTACCTGATCCTCTCCGGCACTGCCGTCGTCACTAAAGTGTCACACAGTAAGAAGACAGGGGAGCTTTTCTCCAAGACGGTGGCCTTCCTGAAGAAAGGGAAGTACTTTGGGGTAAGTAGTTGCTTGTTCATTGTATTCCCATTTGTATGAAGAAGGCAGAGGCGGCTACGCTACAGATAAAGAAACGTTTGCAAGTTATAATGACTAATACATTCCTGTTTGTGCTGACTGTTTTTGGGAAGCATCCAGAGCCTCTGTGCTGATTTAAAATCAATCAATCAAGCGTTAATGAAAACGTACAGACAAACATCACAAATCAGGGCTCGGTGCCACGAATCTACCCGGAGCTGTGATTGACTTAAGACTGTTGTTAACAAACTTTGTTGAAATGTTAGAGAAGTTGTATTTACATTTTTTTTTTTCATTAGAATACTAAAATCTTATCATTGGCTTGAGTTTGAAGAGTTGTAGCCTGGGCAGAAAACACCAGAAACCTTTTGAATGTGCATGCAAATTTTACTTGACCATATACTGCTATTGAAATGTAACTTGAACCCTGTATGGAAGAAATCACATAAGGATTTGTCAACCTCGGTTCACTAATAACCCTAAAATAATGACACGGACTGCATGACGTGGGTTTATAGGGCCACAGCAGCCATTTTATTTACAAAATGAAATATATAACATAATATTAACAACAATTCCAACAATGCAACCAGGAGTAAGTTGTAGCACACAGACCCTTGATGAGTCCTGCCTTTTCTCCCAGTTTCTATCCCCAAGTGGTTGCAAGCAGCCAGGCACACAGAAGAACTTGAATAGGGTATAGGGTGAGCCTTGGGATATTCCAAATCTAGTGCAACTTTAACCTTTAACAGAGGACACTCTCTGGCAGTAGCTAACCTTTTCAGGATAGGCCTTTTTGGCAAGAGAATATGGACATACAGCTCAGGGGACTTCCACTCTGGAAGCAGTCCTAAGCCAGCAACTCTGGAACAGTCTCCAAAAGAGATGTTAACAGAGAAGTATGGGGTAAGGGGTTTGTTGTTTCCCCCAAAATATACTTATCTAGGTGGATGCAGCATCAGTTTGATGTTGCATCTGTCCCCCGCCGGCTGTAAGTTTGAGAACTAAGCAATTACATGACCGCTCTGAGCAGAGAGCAGTGACTGTCAGCCATCGTTGTCTGCTCTGCCCCCCCAGTGCTCTCTGAAGCACTGGGCTTTGGAGGGGAAGAAGCAGCTCTCTGAGAAGCTGAGCCAGGTGCCGCTCCATACTCTGGGGACTGCAAAGTCAGGATCTTTTGCCCAGCTTAGACTGAGTGATGCCAGAGGACAGTGGGCTCCAAACCGCTGTCGGCTGAAAACGGGTCACAGGAGTGCAGAACGAACTGCACTCTTGTGATCCACAGGAGAAGTACAGTCAAAAGAGCTTTGGCTGTACTTCTCCTTTAAGCAGCAACAGTCTTTTTAGGATCTCTCAATGTCTCAGGTCTCCACTCGCTGTGTCCCTGTATACATGGATTCCTCCTTCCAGTACGAGCCAGTCCCTGTACTGTGAGCTTCCGGGCCAGATCCTCAGCAGACTTTCTCCCAACTGTCCTCAGCAGTTTTAACGATAGGCCCACCAGCTCTCCTGAGTGGGGACCTCAATCAATCTCCTGCAGTCTTCTTTAGGTTGCCCAGGAAGACAGATAGCCCCTTCAGGCTGGCTCTTTTTTCACCAGGACAAGGACCCTGCTTTTCTAGGCCCCAGACTATTTATGCACACCTCTGCCCCCTGATGGTCACTTTCCTGACCAGGGATTGGCTAAAGCTGTATGAATATTCAGCCTGGGGCCTGCTTCTTCCAAATCACTATGTTCCAGAACTTACCAAAATAGAGGAGAAAGTAGTTCAGCCTGCAATCTGCAGAACCCAGAACAGCCAAACTCAATCAAATCCTGGTCCACTGGTTAGATTGGAGTCAAAAAACGAAGTTTACTTAGTCCTGTTAGCAACCTAACTAGCGTCTTTTGGTGTCAGTTTATGAATACAGTTTCCCATGTCCTCGGTTCCCCAACTGGATCAAAGATGTTATGAACTCACACATTATTTCTTTTTCCTCAGGGAACCTAGCTCCTGGGAGAACTGCCAATAACCAACCAAGTGAAAGTGACATACCTCAGATAGGCCCCCAAGCTGCTGTGACTTTTGTTTTAAATGCCACCCC